GCATCTTCGTTCACTCCTTTGGCACTTCGGCCGATTCGGCTGGAGTGGTCGAGGAGGTGGACGGATGGAAGCGCATCCGGTTGAATCTGGATACCGGGGCCGCCGCGACCGCGATCCCAATCGAGCTTGCCGAGAGCTTGAAGGAAATGGGATACGCCTTGGGGCCCACCAGCGGAACGACCTACAAGACCGCAAACGCCGAGATGATGCGAGACGAGGGCGGCCTGCAGATCCGAGGCACCGACGCCCGTGGAAACTTGAAGGGAGTGACCGGAAGGGTCACGGGCGTTCATCGCCCGCTGGCGTCGGGAAGCAAGGTGGCTCAGGGCCACCACCTGGCGCTGACAAAGAAGGGCGGCTGCTTGATTCCCCTTGGGAGCAAGGCGGCCGCGGAGTACGATCAGTTCATGGCTGGCCTGGTGGCCCGCCACCACGCCATGCTTACGCCTGTTACCGTCGAGAACGGCATCTATATGCTTGACTTTTGGGTGCAGCCACGCACCACGGACCGGAAGCCCGAGTTGAACGCAACGGGCGACAACGAAGAGGAGAAGGAGAAGGAGGATGCCCCTTTTCCGGGGCAGCGGAAGGCGTAAGTCCTGACGAGCCCCCGCCGGAGGCCCCTGCCGGCGATGGGGAAGCTGCACATGAGGGGCGGATGGCAATCGCCCGGCGGTCTCCCAAAGATCCGTCGCCCGCCGAGATCGACGAACACCGCGCAGCGGGGCATGTGACGCACCGTTCCTGGTGCATCCACTGCTGCAGGGCCCGTGCTGGGGCCCCACGACATGCGACCGGCGAGGCTGCGGACCACGACGCTGGTAGGTTGCCCTACGTTTCACTAGGTTTTAAGGAAGTTTGTTTGAAAAGCGACAACGAGAACCCCATCGTGGCGCTGAAGAAGAAAGTGAAGGAGGAGACGAGTTTGAAGACGCACCTCGTTGAGGTGCCGGTGGAGGACCACCAAGCAAATGGATACATTGAGGTGGGCGTGCGTGAGATGAAGCGGCAGGTCCGGGCGATTCTCTCGGACTTGCAAGAGCGGCTTGGTTTCGATATCGAGCCGGCCCATCCATGCATGATGTGGCTTCCGCGCCACGCTGCCTACCTGCTTTCTCGGTTCCGCGTGGGATCGGACGGCCGGACGCCTTACGAGAGGACGTTCGGAAGGAAGTGGAAAACTCCACTTGTGAGCTTCGGCGAGCACGTGCTCTTTAGGCCGAGGCAGCCGCGAGACGGCAGGAAACACGACCTAGAGCCCAGGGTTAGCATGGGCATGTTCGTGGGGGTTGGCGCCAACAACGACGTGTTCATCATGACAGAACGGGGTGTTGTGAAGGGCGCCTCGATCATGCGCCGGCCTCCTGCGGACCAGTACAAGTACGAGAACTGGAGCAAACTCCGAGGTGTTCCTTGGAGGCTCCAGGCCCGAGAGCCAGGAGAGCTTCGGGTCGACCTGCCTGCGGTGGTTGGACAGCCGAGGCGTGCGCCGCAGGAGGAAGTGGTTCCGAGGAACCTGTACGTTCTAAAGAGCGACCTGGAGAGGCACGGCTACACGCCGCTGTGCCCGGGCTGTGAAGCCCTGATCTGCGACATGCCGCGCAGATCGCACAACAACGAGTGAGTGCCGCCTAAGGATCCAGGCGGAACTTCAGAAGACTGAAGATGGAAAGGCGCGCATTGATGCGGCCAGGGCCCGGCTTGACGCCGGAAGGAGGCCCAAAAACCAAGGAGGGGAACGCACCTGTGTTGGTCGGCGCGCCGGAGCCAGATGCCGAAATGGCTGCGGGAGAAGCAGCAGGAGAGCCCGAGCCCAGAGGTACCGCTCGGGAGCTGCAGGAACGCGAGGACGTTCGAGATGGAAGCCCCAGGAAGAAGAGGAAGGAAGGAAAGAAGAAAGGAGAGAAGAGAGACGCCGACGAGGACGTCGAAGTGCTGCACGAAAGGATGCAGCAAGCAGATGGAAGAGGAGAAGAAGCAACCGTGATGGGGCCACTCCCTTCTGCTGGGAGTAGAGATCCCCAACCAGAGCGGGTGCCAGAGCCATCGGCCGATTCGGCTGGAGGATCTGGTGCTATGGCTCTGAACCAGTTCACCGAGTGCCTTTGCGCTGTCTTGAGGGACGCGCGCGCCAAGGGCACCGTGAAGGAAGTTTTCTCTGTGCCGCGGGTTGCGGCACAGGCCCAAGTGAAGGCCATGAGGCCTGGTTTCTCTGTGGACCTCGAGGCTACTCGCGAGGACGGCGAGGCCTGGGACCTCAGCAAGGACTCCCACGTGAACGAGCTGTTCGAGCTTTTTGAGCGTGAGGAGCCCAAGTTTCTTGGGGGCTCGCCACCACGTGGCCCGCTTACAGCAGGTGGTGGATGCATCTGCCAAGGTCGCGCCTTCTGCTAGGCGCGAGGCTGTGGAACGAGACCAGAAGCATCTGAGGACCACCGTCCGTGCGTACTGGACGCAAGTGAACGCAGGAAGGTACTTTCTGCACGAGCACCCTTCGGGAGCAAGAAGCTGGGAGGAGCCAGAGGTTAAGGAACTCAAGGCGGACCCCCGCGTCTTCGAAGTTCGAGGTCCCACCTGTCGGTGGAGTCTGAGTGGAAGCTCGAAAGCGACCGTGAACAAGGAGACGCGGTGGCTCACGAACTCGAGTACCGTTGCCGACGTGCTGCGCAGAGCGAGCCTTGCTGGGCCATAGGCGGGTGCACGGTTGCGTTGCTTTGTTGCCGGGAAGTTGCCGGGTAAATCGGCTCGTGCTGGAAACAAAAAAGATATAGTTTGTTTGCGGTTAGTCAACAATCAAAACCAAAGGCTGGGTGGCTGAGAAACCAAAATTAGGAACGTCTTCAAACTTGAGTTGTATGTCGTATGTTTTGGCAAACCAAGACAAACTTTTTACCCAAGAAAAAACGAAACAACTTTTCACAAAACTGTCAAATTTCTGTTTGTTTTGATGGAGCACATGACAAGCGACATTCGACTATGTGTTTGGGGGTTTAGGGTTTCCAAGGTTTATGTTTGGTAATACCAACTATAACTATATCATAAGGGCTGAAGTAAATTATACCATCATGCATTAGAGACTTCAGAGATATGACAGACAAATATATAGATAGATAGATAGATAGATAGATAGATAGATATATTTAGAATGTTTGCAGCAGCGTCCTTGCGTGTGGTGCTGAAGAGTACCTGTTTGTTTCTGCAGTGGTGCTGATGAGTACCAGTGGTGCTGAAGAGTGCCTGCTTGTTTTCTGCAGTGGTGCTGATGAGTACCCTTGGTGCTACCAATTATCATGACTGGGGTTCCGGGTTGACTGGGGTAGACCCTGCACGGATTCCTGATATTAAGTCTGCTTAGCATGCTGCCATCCTTGTATATAGTCGTTATCAAGGCAAGTTAGGACTACACCCCTAGCGCTTGGATTAGTTCAGGAGTTCGGGGTTAGACCCTACAAAGAATCCCGACGTTAAAAGTTAAGGTTCCTTAGCAGGATTTCCAGGGATTGCATCTGGAGTGTTGCCTTACAGTTTTAGCAGGTAGTACTGGCAATTCACTAGGCTGCTACAGTACCTGCAGGGGTTCAGGACTGACGGTCCGAGTTGTCGGTGTTGAAGTCTTTTTGTTAATTAAGGGTTGGGGCCTAGTGAGAAGGTTCGTTCGGGTTTGCTGCCATACTCTTTGCATAAAACAGCGGGGCCCGATGAAATGGCTAGTATTTCTTTCGTAGTCAAACAGAAGCAAGGAGAGGTACTCTTCAGCACCACAGATGACAGTATTTCAATCGGAGGCTGATTCCTGATGCCGAGGCACTCACGATTGGCTCCGGACTCCACGAGGCCTGGAGATCAGGCGTTCGTAGATACATGAGTCACATGAGTCCGATTAAGCAATGCTGCTTGGCTTCGTGAAGAATCTGACTCATGACCAGGCAGACGAGCGCACTGCCAAAGACTCAGCGCGAGACCGTTTCGCTACGTAGCGCCTGTGCTGCTGAAGAGCGGCATGTCAGTGAGCTGTGGTGCTGAAGAGTGCTTTCTCAGTGACAGTCGCACCGAGGAGAGAGGATAGGTACTCTTCAGCACCACAGATGACAGTGATGCAGCAATCGCAGGCTGACGCCGAGGTTCTCACGACGTCTCACGACCACGAGGCCTGGAGATCAGGTGTTCGTAGACACATGATTCTGAAAAGCAATGCTGCTTGGCTTCTTGAGTGTAACCCATGATCAGGCAGGTGAGCACACTGCCAAAGACTCAGCTCCAGACACAAGGTTTCGCTTTGTTGAACAAGTTGCACCTGTGCTGTTGAAGAGCGGCGTCTCACTGAGCTCTGTGGTGCTGAAGAGTGCCGTCTGTCTAGCAACCAACGCACGTGCGGTTCCTTCGCTTGTCTACGTCTACTCCTCTTCCCAGGACCGGCCTTCAGAGCAGCGCTGAAGATGATGAGGTTCCTCGGCAATCAAGGAGGCAGGCCAATTGTAATTATATAGGTATGAGAGCTTCTTCTATGTGAACGCTGCAGAGGTGCAAGCAAGCAATAAGCTCCAGTTGTTTTCTCGTGCCCAAAGCCCAAAGTGACATCGCGCCATCATTTGTCGTTGGCCTGGCCGAGATATTTCATTAGTGGCCTATGATTAAAAAAGGCGCCCATTATGAAGCCCGCCTTCTCCGTCTTCTTATCCTTCTTTTCCTTCGGTCGCGGAGGCGGTGCCTCTGTCGACAACTGCTGCCAACACTGCCAAATGTTTGCTCATTGTGCAATAGGAGAGTGCATCAGAGTTAAGCCCAGCCTGTTCGATCTTCGCTTTCTTGGCTTCGACCTGCCGTGCTATGATTTGGTTTATGCAGTTATGCCATTTCGGGATTTTTGAAGAGGAGTGTATGAGATTCCCAGCCTTCTTGTCATCTTCCTTCCGATCCTCTTTCTTCCTCTTCGAGGCTGAAGACTCTGCTCTCATCTTTGCGACCTGCTGTGCTAGAAAATTTCGTGTCGTAACTCGGCCCTAGCCAAAAAGTTGAAAAAGACTGCCGCCCTGACTCTGAGGCCCTGCCTCCGGGTACTTGGCCGCAACCCTTTTCATCTGATCTTCTGCCGTCACCTGCAGGCTTCAAACCCCTTAGCTTACCAGAAGCGAGCCGAGAATGACAGTGGCCTCCGGAAGATCTGCTTTCGGGGGCTCCTCAGGCTTCGACTCTTTCTTGTCGTCCTACAGGAATCGAGTAGACTTAGATCACCGATCAAAATCACTCCGTGGAATCTACTGAATCCTTTAGGCTGCCGAAACGCTTCCGGCCTCCACTGCCTTTTTCTGGAGCACACCGGGAGGGCTCTTCTGCGTGTCTGGCTTCATGCCCTGAGTGCCCTTCTCCTGCTGAGCCTGTTGTGAGGCTGCGATCTTCTCCAAGTCACTGAGCTTGGAATGTCGCCATTCCATGCTCGACTGCTTCCAAAACTCCACGGATTCCAAGAGCTCGTTGACGCGCGTAGTTAGACGAGACTTCTCGAGCGCGTAGGCCTCCTTCTGCTCGGCCAAAAGTTTTTGCGCAGACTGTTGCTCGCGCTGAACGGCCTTCAGGATCTCAGCGTCACTGTAGGCCTTCCAGCGCTCGCCCAGCTGCAGCAGCGCATCCGTCTTGTCGGCCTCGGCAGCCGCCTTCGCCGCCAAGTTCGCCGCCTCGACGTAGGCCTTCTTCTCCTCGTTGAACCTCACCTGTTGTTGCGCCAGCTCTGCTTCGAGTTGTGCCTTGTGTAACTCTGCACAAGTCTGCTTCACCTCTCTCATCTTCGCGTCGAACTCCCTGCGAAGCTGACTGAAGTTCGGGCGAGCGCCCGAAGCTCGGCTTGCCTCCATCAGCTGAGTAACATCTTCGTCGTGCCCACGCAAGGGCGGAGTGAAGGATGGCCCTTTCTGCTTCGGAGCAGGTCGAGGTGCAGGCCCTTGTCCAGGTCGAGCTACAGCAGGTGCGGGCGGAGGCCCGGGCGGAGGCCCGGGTGGAGGCCCGGGTGGAGGCCCGGGCGGAGGTGGCGGAGGAGGCCCAAGCGGTGGCCTAGGTCCAGGTCCTTGCGGAGGCGGAGGTGCCGGAGCTTCCGCCGGCTCCGGCTTGTCTCGCCCATGCGCCCCATCATCCGGAGCTTCCGCCGGCGAAAAGTAGTCTCGCCCATGCACCCCATCCTGTGAGTGCCGCTTCTGCCAGCCATGCCACTGCGAATCATCTCGCCATCCAGAATAGGACCAATTTGACCACTCCGCGTCCATGGTTCTATGAAGGAACGGCTGGCGAAGCTCTCGAGTGAAGTATGACTTTGTAAGTGTCTAGTTTAAGGATTTATTGTTTAGGGTTTAGGTGTCAGAACCTGGAAGCCTGGAAGGTCGGAGAAATTAGGTTGCAATCGCAGTCTGCGGTTATGTTGATGTGACTTGAACTCGTGATGTTGAAACCTGAAACAGAAGGTCTGTGGACTAGTTCTTGCAATGTCTTCGGCAACGATAACTGCAGAACTTGGATTGTATACCTCGCGGCGACGGGCAGTGTTTTAAATGCACATGCGACTGCTTAACAGAATTTCCGCTGCATCTCAGGCTGAGTCTTCGGCTGTCGGAGATGATCATGACTGGCTGGCGTCAGGAGCTTGGATCACCGCCTGGCCAGGGCTGAGCTTTTGCAGGACATTGGACCTGGATTGTGGAATTCAGATGCCACTCTTCAGCAGCACAGCATCATTCTGGAACTCGGATGCCACTCTTCAGCAGCACAGCATCATTCTGGAACTCGGATGCCACTCTTCAGCAGCACAGCATCATTCTGGAACTCAGATGCCACTCTTCAGCAGCACAGCATTTGTCGTGGACAGCCGGCAAGCACAAAACCCTCAAACCCAAACAAACCCCAGGCTTCTCTGACCGAGCCTTGTCCGGTGATGTGGCCGTGGCCTCGGACTCAACGGTTGCAGGTTCGAACCAGTGCTTCTCTCCAGGTGCTTGTCATTAGGGTGCTAAAGAGTGCTTTGCAGCTGTGGTGCTGAAGAGTGCCGTAGTAGTAAGCTGTGGTGCTGAAGAGTGCCACGTGCTGTTTTTGTGTTGCTAAAGAGTGCTTTGTAGCTGTGGTGCTGAAGAGCGCCTTCCGATTGCTGCTGTTGTTTGAGCTGTGGTGCTGAAGAGTGCCGCCTGCTGTTTTTTTTCGAGTTCTGGGCTGGGAGTCCGCCTTTCCCGGGTTAAGGCGGACTGGCATGAATCCGATCCTCGACGGACTACCATGTCAAGCAGGCCGCCAGGCGTTTGAGTTTGTTGATTTGCTTAGCGTCACAGGCTTGCACACAACATGTGCAACACGTCCTTACCTGCAACTCTTGTGGCTGGCCGCGGCATTACAGATCGCAAAGCTGAGCTCCTGACTCTGACTGGGTCAGTCTTTGCGGCTGCCATGCCTCCCAAAGGGAAAGCGAAAGCCGCTCCTAAGGCTGGCCGCGGTCGTGGAGGTGGGGGTAAGGGCGGCGGCAACGCCGCTGCTCCTGATCCTGCTGCGGGCGGTCCCGCCGCTGCTGGTGTGAACTGCCGGCACCTTGGGCGGGTCATGGATGCCTTGACCGAGATCTCTGGGAACACTGTGCTCTCGGATGTGAAGGACAAGCCCCCACTGCCAATCAGCAACTCCAAGGATTCTTCCACGATCGTGCCCCGGATTTGAATTAGCAACCAAAGCAGGGGCACACGACATATACAGGATTGTGTGCTCATAGGTCTTCTGAATTGCATGATCTACTCAGGCGCCTTTTGACCGTGACCAGATGAAGCATGCCCTGGGGAGCAAAGGTTCCTACACATGTGGAGGCAACCTGATGTGGATCGATTTGCTCACTTCCATCACTCCGAATGTGCCGGTGGTGGAGGCTACGGTTCAGAAGAGCATGGACAAGTATTTTCCTTCTGCAAACATCAACTGGGAAATTGGCAAGGTCATCATCGGCTTGTTGCCGGCACAAGTTGAGTCATTGGCTAATGGTGCACAGCCGACCTCCTTGCGGCTCATTTCCCCTGAAGAATACTTGCACGCCTTTGTGCTCAAGGTGGCTCAACGTGTGAAGGATGGGGCACCCATGGGGGAGCTGAACCAGTGGTCGACCCTCATGCTGTCATTGCCGATGACCTTCCAGGTCGGTGCCAGCCCGGAGAAACTCTACTTTGCTGGAGTGACAGCCCGGGAAAACTATGGGACTGGGTATGACCTCCTGTTCCGAAGCGCGGTGCAGAGAATCTATGAGCTGGGGGTTTACCGGGATTCCCAGCCGGGCAAGTTGACCCACAAGGAGATTGCTGCTCGCTGGAAGGCGAGCGTGACGTTCTCCACCATCACGGATGCGGACGAGACGATGCAGGACTGGGCCGGCTTCGTGTCCACGTGTATCTCGGTCTACGACCGCTGCTTGTCGAACCCCACGGTGTCACGCCTCATTTTGGATGCTGAAGAGCGTTGGGGAAAGCAAACACCTTGGGACTCGGTGGGGAAACTGGACACTCTGTGTTCCAAGTGCACGAAGTCGATCGGGCGCTCCGACCCAGGCTCGGCCACAGACAGGATGTGCTGGGTGATCCGGGCAGTGCATGATTTCTATGACTCGGAGCAAATTCAGAAAACCCAACTGAGCACTCGGAACTTCTCCGGCAAGGGGCTCTACGGCCACAAAGGGACATGTGACATTTTGCTCTACAAGTATGGGCTGGGCATCTACATCAAGGACTACCTTGAGGGCACGATCATCGACGCGAACCAGAAGGGTGTCATTCGCTCAGTGTTCGATGATCATGAGTCCTACCGGAAAGCTTATGGGCAGCATGGCCACATGGAGGACTATGACGTCTCCTGGCTAGGCTCACTCTGCCAGCCGGCTCGGACAGCTTGCGGCCTGCTGAAGCAGCTGGTCTACACAGTGGAGGAAGACGCAAGGCTCAAGCGCATGCTGCATGCAGGGGCCTCCTGTGCCGATTGGCTTGACCATGATGAGCTGTCGGAAAAGACGGGACCTTTGAAGTCAGAGATGCTGGCCCTGAGCAGCCTGGAAAGGGCTGTTGTAGAGGAGACGCCGGTGGTGAGCACGCCGCAGCAGAAGATGCAGGACAGCATTGTGCATACACTGAAGGTGTCTGGCAGCGAGGAATCCATGGAGAGCCACGTCCGGTCCCTGCCCGAGGCAGACCTCGCCCGCATCATGGAGGCCATCACGTATGCGAAGCAGCATGTGAGACAATTCATCAAACTTTTCGTTGATGACGAAAAGGAAAAGCTTGTCTTGGATGCCTTGAATGAGTCCTCCCTGACGCGCATTGCAAAGTCCGAGTTCTTGCTCACATGCTTTGACGTCAAGAACTCTGGTGAACCTGTTACATGTCCTCACATTCGTGTGGCCCCGTTGAAAAACGAGAGACTGCGACGCTGCATTCAGCGAACGTGCAAGTTTATGAGCAGCCCAGACGGCCTGCCGGAGAACATGGCATTCATGGTGTTTGACGGGGGAAAGTTCGGGAACCTGGCGCCGATCATGAGTCAGTTTGTGGACAGCAAGGGCACGGCGATGCCGAAGCAGACCCGGACCATCAGCATCTGCTACGAGGAGAATTCCGTGATTCGGCGCATGGAGCGCTATCGGACCATGACCTCATTGCAGCAGCTGGAGAGCTGTCATCTTGCCGCTTGAACTCATGTCCCTAAGAAGATAAGGTATGCTTCCCTTACTAACTAACTCAGCAGTGTGGGGCTGAATCCAAGACATCAGAGGTGTACAACTGTGGGATCAATCTGCCCGGCATGAAGAAAAGACGCAACCGGTGCTACTACAGCGGGACCTCCCACGGACAGGTCATTCAGAACGTTGTTCTGCCGACGGATGCAGAAGTGTGGACAACATCTTTTGCGAACAAGAAGGCAGGATATGAAAACCGAGTTAGGGGGTTACCACTTATTATGTACTTCCACCCGCGCCTGATGTTGAGGCGATCTACGACCGCCTGCGAGTGGACGTGGGGGGAACGACCGCGGGAGGAAGTGCGGATGTCCAGAAAAGGACCGAGGAGACGATCGAGCCGGTGAACTTCCACTCGATGCCCCTGAACTTGTACAGGGAGATCCTGGAGGTGGATACAAAGCCGAATGCCATCCTTGACTGGACTGTGGGGGACTCTCAGTTCGCTACCGTGGCTCTTGAGTGTCAGATCTCTTACGTGGGGGCCTGCTTCTCCGAGACTCACCAAAATGAGGTCTACGAGCGCTTGACTGCCTTGACTCTCAAGAAAATGCAGACCGAGGGCTCCGGCATGCTGTACCGACCGTATTTGGCAGAGCTGCTTTCCGGCAGCACGCAGAGGATTGGGGGTGGTGGGACAGAGACCACCTCAGGCTCAGGCCGTGGCGGACGTGGCCGAGGAGGGCGTGGGCGAGGCCGACCTCCAGCACCAGATAATGGCAGTGGTGACGGCAACAATAACAGTGGTACTGTTGCCGGTACCGGCAATGGCAGCGGTACCACCGGCAATGGCAGTGACTTGGAAGCTGCTTTAGCAGCCAGGATCGAAGCGTTGCGCAGGGAAGGTGCTTCTGCTGATGCTGCTTGATGATGCAGCTTTGGATTCTGCGACAGGAAGCCGAAAGTATGATTTCGGTTCGGAGACAGTCTCAGCTGTCGTTTTTGATTTTGATTAGGCTGACAGATGAAGACAAGCCGGATGTCCTGCCGAGAACTCTTAAGTCTTCCGTACCTCTGAGATTGGAAGAAATAGAATAATAATGAATCATTCAGGAGCAGGAAGCAGAGCTCGAAAGTGCACTCTTTTGTTCGGTGATCTGCTCCCCACGTGGCCCTGTAAGCGGTCTGGTTTTCCATTTCACAGGGGATGCATCAACACTGAGCCGATGTCTGGACCCAGCGCTTGGAGCAGGAAATGCCTTCGCTTCGTTAGTTAGTGCTTTTGTGTCAGCGTATGCGCCTTTGACTTGGATATCGGCAGGCGATGGCTGGATCTTTTCATGAAGCAGCCGGGTCCTAAGCGATGTGCCAATCCTGAGCCGATGTCTGGACCCAGCGCTTGGAGTAGGAAATGCCTTCGCTTCGTTAGTTAGTGCTTCTGTGTCAGCGTATGCGCCTTTGACTTGGATATCGGCAGGCGATGGCTGGATCTTTTCGTGAAGCAGCCGTGTCCTAAGCGATGTGCCAATCCTGAGCCGATGTCTGGACCCAGCGCTTGGAGCAGGAAATGCCTTCGCTTCGTTAGTCAGTGCTTCTGTGTCAGCGTATGCGCCTTTGACTTGGATATCGGCAGGCGATGGTTGGATCTTTTCGTGAAGCAGCCGGGTCCTAAGCGATGTGCCAATCGGAGTTTCTGCTCGCATGGTTTTGTCAGTATATACTTCCAGCCAGCGCGGCTTAGAGAGCGACAGGCGCCAATTGTTAGACTTCTGTGATAAATCATGGATGATTGGGATGTTCCGCCGGTGTTCTCCGGGGAGAAGCCTAAGCCTAGGAAGGCTGTGGCGAAGCAGCGAGCTTCTTCGGCTCCAGCTCACTCGAAGCCTCAGATGACAATGGCAGCTTCTTCAGTTTCAGCTTGCAGCAAGTCGAGTATGAGCAAGCAGCCACCTTCTTCAGTTCCAGCTTCTGGCAAGAAGGGATGGATGAAGCGGCCAGCTGCTTCAGTTCCAGCTTCCGGCGAGGAGAGTGCGATCAAACTGCGAGCTTCCTCAGCTTCAGCTCGGAAGTGCCCTGTCATGATTCCGGAGGTCCCAGTTAGTGTTGCCCAGGGGAAGACCGACAAATCAGGCAAGCGGAAGAAGGAGTGTGCTGCCACTTCGAGCTCTTTGTCAAAGGCTCCACGCGTGGAAGCGGTCATGAGCAAGAACCGCAATTGCCAGGTACCTTCAGCAGGTTTCAGCGTGGCCCCCAACGGCAAGCGGCCCATCCTTGTGGGTAGTGCCTGCTCGGGCTGGGCAACCGAAGCCCAAGCCCTGGCAAGGCTTGGCATTCCGTATGTTCAGAAGTTTGTTTGTGATTCGGATGATCGAGTCAAGAAGTTTCTCCTGAGCAATATGGCACCGGAGTTCTACTATGACAATGCCCACTCATCCGACTTTTGGCAGGCACCCTACACAGATATCTTTCTTGCAGGTGCACCATGTCAACCGTGGAGTCAAAACGGAGCTCGTGGAGGAAGCTCAGATGAGAGATCGAGTGTTCACCTCCCTGTCATCGGCTATATCGATCGCTGCCGACCGCGGGTCTGGATTTTGGAGCAGGTGCCGCAGTGGCAGAAAAGCGACAAGTCGGACTACAAGGAAGTGATGACGTTCCTTCGCAGCCTGAAGGATCCTTCAGGGCATCCAGCCTACGTGGTGCATGAGAAAAAACTGGATGCCATGTCGTTTGGGCTTCCGCAGCGCAGGGTGAGATTGTACGTCGTGGGGATATTGCGCAAGCTTCGCTCCAGTGACACATTTCCAGTGGAAGGCGAGAAGAACATGCAGCAAGGAACAATGCAGTCCATCCTTGAGCACCCTGCTCCATCCATTGTCCCGAAGTTGGCAGACATCCCGGCGTCCGTGCTGAAGGGGAAAACCTCCAGCTACAACCTTACGAAGGCGTTGAGGAACATCCAGAAGAAGGACAAGGGCAATCCGTTCGAGAAGATGTATGTCGTAGATTTGGCCTCGGGCTTCCAGAATCCTCTGGTGTGCGATGGCTTTTTCCCAACCTTGACAGTTGCCCGATGCACAGGCCTGGCGTACTTCAACCTGCGCTTGAATCGGCATCACACAGCCAAGGAGCTGTGCCGAGTCCAGGGAATGAACCCTGACATGTTCAATTTACAAGAGATCTCTGAAAGGGATCTTCTGCACATGTGCGGGAACGCCATGGCAGTTGACATCGTCGTAGGCATTCTGCGTGCTGTTCTGCCGTTCTTGCAGAATGCGTGATTTTGGATGGCAGCGGGGCCAGGATAAAAGGGAAGAGCCGCATGACTGCGTATGTTTTGGAGAGAGCAACTCCTTATGGCCCAGGGGCGTCCTGTTTATATAGCCGCAGACCGCGCCTACCCCTGCTAGAACAAGGGGGGGCGCCCCCTATTGTTTTTAAAGGGGCTGGTGTTTGTATGTTTTCTTGGTCCTTCTTGTAGGCAACACTACACGATGTCTGGAAGCCGGTCATATCCGTGGATGATCAGTATATAGAAAGATACATTCCCCTATCCCTTTTAAAACAAGTGGGGGCGCCCCACTATGTATTTATGGGGGTCTGGAAACGTCTATGGCGTTATAAACAGGACACCCCTGGGCCATAAGCGGTTGCGCTCCTGGTTTCATCCATTGTCATTGTGTCTCATCCCAAAACAGGAGGGGGCGTACCCTGTTGTTTTTATGGGGGTCTGGAAACGTCTATGGCGCCCAAAACAGGAGGGGGCGTACCCTGTTGTTTTTATTCCCGGCGGGGTGGGCCATAAGCGGTTGCGCTCCGGGTCTCGTCTGTATATCCCAAAACAGGAGGGGGCGTACCCTGTTGTTTTTATTCCCGGCGGGGTGGGCCATAAGCGGTTGCGCTCCGGGTCTCGTCTCTATATATCCCAAAACAGGAGGGGGCGTACCCTGTTGTTTTTATTCCCGGCGGGGTGGGCCATAAGCGGTTGCGCTCCGGGTCTCGTCTCTATATATCCCAAAACAGGAGGGGGCGTACCCTGTTGTTTTTATTCCCGGCGGGGTGGGCCATAAGCGGTTGCGCTCCGGGTCTCGTCTGTTTCTCCCAAAACCCAGCTGTGGGAACCAGTATAGCGGGCGAACCCTGTTGTGTTTATTCCCGGATTCCCGGTGGTGTGAGGCATTGGTTCTCGTCTATGTATTCCAGGATGTCTTGTTTTAATTGTTTTAATTCCATGTGGTGCTGAAGAGTACCTATAAGTCTTGGACGAGTTTTAATTCCCTGTGGTGCTGCAGAGTACCTAAGTCTTGGGATGTCTTGGGCGAGTATCATGACTAGTTGCGCAGCTCCTGTCATCATGCATTAACGAGCTTTGCACTGCCCAGGTCGGATCTGGAAAGATTGGCATCGAATGGACTGCAATGCCAGGCTCGCGGCATCTCCAGTCCCAGCTTCATGATTTGACTGAGACAGAGCTGTGCACAGATTACTGCCGTGAAGTAAGATCAGTATAGAATCTTGACGTTTGCATGAGTTGCTTGCTCTTTTTCCTGGCAAGAGTGGCTCTGCCTGTGTGTGTGTTGTCGAACGATGCTTAAACTTCAATAACTCCAGACTTGAAGGAGATATGTTCTGCAAGTGGAGGGACGGAGCAATGAACGGGAAGTGTGTTTGAAGTGGGTTCTATAGATACTACTGATAATGGAACCTGACATGGAGCAGCCTTGGCCGGCTGCGTCAACTTCCAGCGTAGCTCGGAAGACCTTTGGTGAGAGTACGACTACGACGACTCTGCCAGATGCAGCATATGTGGACACCATTGAAGCTGCATACCGACGTCGGCAAAAGGCTTGGGAAGCCGAGTTTTTGTTGGATCCTAAGCAGCCAGCGTTGGGATCTTGGCTCTTGGGACAGCGCGTCCAGCCAAGATGCTTCGCCTTGGTTTGTATATGCTGCCGAGCCTTCGAAGGCAAGGACTTGCCATCGGAGTCTGGTAAGGACTTCAGTACGCTTTGTGGTACTTGGGCCAGAGGTAGAGCAATCAGCTCCGTGCAAGATCTTCGCAAATGGCTTGTTTCGAAGCATGCCAAAAGTCCGGAGCACCAACGTGCAACTTTGAGTTTGTTGACACATGGAGGAAAAGTGGAAGATGATGACTTGCAGAATGCGCCATCTGTTAGCACGATCATGAAAGTTTGGGGCCAGTTGCACAAGGGCGCCAGCTGCAGAGCTGTTGCTGCAGAACAAGGGAGCTTCGGCAGCAGACACAAAGTGGAGCGGCTGTGCCTTTGCCTTGCCAAGGCATGTTTGGAGAGAGAGAGAGAGTCCTTGCGCAAAGTCCGGGTAATGGCTCTCCACCAGGACGTGCGCAAGGGAGTCTTGCAGGTTCGATACAGCGCGACGCTGGAAGATTGGTCTGTGCAGACAGGCCTTCTAGGCCTGCACCTGCAGCCAGGCACCCTCTCGAATGAACTCTCCATTAGTTCACATGAGGTGCTCAAACGTTTCTGCACCATCGATGGTCGGCTGGATGACAGCCTCTTGCAGAAGATCGCAGACTCCGTGGAACTCCTGGATGCTGATGGGGCATCGGATGAACAACGTTGCCTCCGACTGCTGGGGCAGGACTACTTGAAGAATGTGAAAGTCTGCATCAAGGATCCAACGCACTGTGCGCGGCGTTTGAGTACGCACCCATGGGCAGCAGACCCGGTGCTGTCGCAGGTCTACGGCATGTACATTTCATCGCCGGACTCCATGACCAATTTGCTCCAGCATTCTTTCGACTTGAAGGGTCTCTTCGCTGGAAACGTGGATGAGCTGACTGGGGATATTGCTTTGAGCGAGCAAACACGGAAGAGAATCCGGTGTTTGGACTACTGTCCACATCGTTTCGAAAGCTCTTGCAAACCTTTAGGGAGATTCTGTGTGCTATTCGATGCGATATGGAGGTCGGCGCTAGACGTTGTCGTCAGGAGACAGGGATCAGTGCCAGCTGCTAAGGCGGAACAGTTCCTTCGGGAGGCGAGTGAGGAGACGCTTCTCCAACTGGCATTGCTAGCAGATGCAAGCCTTCAGTCTCTCGAGCTCGTCCGCTTTCTCGATGCTGTCACTTGGTTCATTACCAGGGCTAAGTCATAAAGATAGAACCAGACTAGGATTGATTTGGATCCACCAACACTGGGAGATAAATAATAGCAAAGCTCCGAAACCTAAGGAGTCGTATGATCCGGCTTTGATGTTTCAAGCTTTGAGCGACTTCTTGCACAATATCGATGTGCTGTTCGTTCATGAGGAAGTGCTTTCCTATGGGCATACAGAGATCATGATAGAACACCTTCGCAAGGAGCGCGTGGCCCGTCTGCCTGACGGCATCAAGGTGCTGGGCGGTGCAGGGAAGCTGACGGACAGGATGATCCGTTCATGCTTGGACCGCATGTGTGGATGGGTTACCCTCGCCACGAAACGTCTTCAGGCGGAGTTTCCTCAATATCAGACAGTGCAGGCCTTCCATGTTTTCGACCTAAGTTGCAATGTGCGCAAGTGCGAGGAGCAGACCGATCGGCATGAAGTGCGCAGAGCAGAATTGCAAAGATTGGCCCAGGTGTTTCGTGTTGATGCGGACGAGTTCAAGAAACAATTCCAACTCTGCTTCTACAACGCACAGAACTTTCTCAAGTCAGGGCAGGCAAATTCCAACTTGGAGGCCTGGGTTATGACCCGCAAGAAGTTCGCCAACCGGGGCTTGCGCCATCAGTGCCATCATGACCTGGCGGCCCTGGATGTCGTCTTGGCTCGATACTGTGCCTTCCATGGTGCCTCCACTTCGCAGGTGGAGCAGCACTTCAGCATCTTTGAGCGCTTGGTCTGTAAGGAGCGCTCCCACATGATTCTGGAGATGCAAGAGGGCACACTTCGCTTGGGTCTCAAGGGCCCGGAGGAAGCGGTGGCCCAAGACGCGGCGAGAATGTGGATGTCAACCTATGGCAAGCCCAGGCTTTGCAAAGGACCTCGGCTTCAGACACGACTGCCACAGAAGCAGAAAGGCAGTGAAGCTGAATGGCGGCACAAATGCAAGACACAGTCCAAGCATTTGGGACAGCTTAAGAAGCGCAGAAGCAAAGATGAGATTGTGCAGGCAGCATCTGCTGCTGCTTCACGACAATGGACTGAGCGGCACGATCGAGAGCTGAAGACGCTGGACCAGCTCGCTCGGGACAACAAGGTCAAGGCATTGGTTGCCAATGAGCTTCTACCCGAGGAGATCACGACTGACCAGAATCTTCTTCAGGATTGCGAGCAGAGGTTGAAACTTCTGAGAGAGACGGAGAAGGGCCACAAGAACAAATGGCGAAAAATCAATGAGAATGTGGAGCGGCAGCAACATACATTGGCGGACTCCCGGTTCTTTGTGGATATTCCTGCGGATTGCCAGCAAGCATGTTTCCAAGACGTGCTGCGCGTGTTCTGCCAGAAGAAGATTGAGGTGGTAGGGCGGCCAGCTGCAGGCTACTATTTGCTCCCGAGCATGGCGATGGAGGCTTCAGCTTCTTGGATCTACGCAGTGTGTGCGGGCCGCTGCGTTTGCAACTGTGAGTTTGCGGCCTCTGAAGGCACCAAGGGTGTTGTGTTGGCATACACAAACGCCACCAAGTCTCGACGAAGGATTTGTCTGACTAGTGAGTTTCAGAGAGTCCATTCGGAACAAGCAAGAGCCCTGGAAGATGTGGCAGGCTCACCAACTTCGCACTGGAAGCTGATTTCTGAGCTTCAGTTCTTGGAGGCGGTCAGCGAGAAGAAGAAGTCGGAATCGGCATTCTTTCACATGGCCATTGTCACAGACAGCATGAAGCAGAATGATGCTGTATACAAGAACCGACCCAATGCTTTCACCATGTTCAGTTTCCTGCAGTTTTTTGCAAAGGCAGATGTCCCGCGTTGCAGAGAAGGTGTTTGTGGGAGGTGACCCATGATATGAGGAAGTTAATTATAATGAGTACTAGCGACAAGTGGTGCAAAGAACACTTTCATGTTTCAGACTGACCCACACGCCTTTGCTGCAGGGTAGCGTTGCGGGGTTCAGCAGCGCTGGATCATGAGGGGACTTCACTCGGCGGAGTCTGATCAGATTGCGCTTGTCCGAAGAACCTGACACCTCTTGACCATTGATCTGTAGCAACCTGCAGAAATCATAACACAAAATGCGTACTGACAGGATCGGTGGTCTTCGGCTGACATGTTCTGAAGCAGATCACACAGAGGGAGACTCAGAGCCGCTTCGTCTTTTGCGTCAGATGCAGCGATCCGTTACTGTGAGCTCTGCTGCGAGGTGTGTGGTCTCTTTCAGGACATGTCCGGGCCTCAACCGCCAAGACACAAGATGAAGTCAGCCGTCTCGGAGATCACTTCATAGATTTCTTCATGATCTTCATGCTGTTCTTTTTCACCGTCGGGTTCTTCTTGGATTTGACGTACATCTTTTGCAAAATACTCTTCAGGGGGACAGACTTCTCGAGGGATGCACCTGTTTGTTCATCAGTGAGTTCACCATAGCCAAGAAAGGTGCGGACATCAGAGATGCGTGCGAACTTCATAGCCACATGCTGTGAGATGTTGGCGTTTTTCATGTCATTTATGGCTCGGTGACGCCCGCTGTGTGACCTGATCTTCTCTGCCTCAACGAAAACCTCCGCTGGCGGTGCAAAGGTGAGGCGAAGACGACCGATGGACTTCGTGACCGTGTCCTTGCTCCGGTGCTCTGTCTTCGCATCCGATCTGTGTGAGGGGAAGAGGTAATCGGTGTCTTTAGCGGGCCACTTCCACGTATCGAAGAAGGCAACCACCCCCCGCACACCTTTCTTCTGATAGCGCTTCTTGGCCTTGCCTTTGCTTCGCAGAGATTTCAGGAACGGCACGAGGGCGGAGAGCATGCTCTTGTGAACAGCTTTCTGGCGCTTGAGAGGTGCAATATGCACACATTTCTTCTTCCATAGAAAATCTCTGGCTTTGAGCTTGAGCACTTCAGTGATTCTCAGACAGAAGCAGTGACTAAGCACCAGCGCCACCCACAGCCAGGTACTGCCTTGAGCGAGTACGTGGTCAAGCCAGGCACCCCAGAGGGGACCAGGAAGCGAAGAGGCTTTGCCAAGCTTCTTTTCTGGGGTCTTCTTCTTTGTAGTCTTGGCTTTCTTGCATGGTCGGCCAAGTCGCTTGGCCATGACAAACACTCGAGGATTTATATAGACGGAGAAGACTCCAAAATCAAACTACGGATGCCCGAGCAAACTGCTGCAATACGTCTTTATTCCTGCCTGATTGCACATGTTATCTTTATCCAGTCACTCCCCAGCGTGAGTCATGTCCATCAGACTTCGATTCCTGGAAAGTCCTACATCTTCGATCCCGAAACCCTGGTTTTTTCGGTCGGATTCATGGCAGTCCGCCTTAACCCGGGAAAGGCGGACTCCCAGCCCAGAACTCGAAAAAAAACAGCAGGCGGCACTCTTCAGCACCACAGCTCAAACAACAGCAGCAATCGGAAGGCGCTCTTCAGCACCACAGCTACAAAGCACTCTTTAGGCTACAAAGCACTCTTTAGCAACACAAAAACAGCACGTGGCACTCTTCAGCACCACAGCTTACTACTACGGCACTCTTCAGCACCACAGCTGCTACGGCTAACGAACAGAAGCAATCGGAAGGCACCATTGTGTCCGAGGCCACGGCCACATCAGCGGACAAGGCTTGGTCAGAGAAGCCTGGGGTTTGTTTGGGTTTGAGGGTTTAGTGCTTGCCGGCTGTCCACAAATGCTGTGCTGCTGAAGAGTGGCATCTGAGTTCCACAATGATGCTGTGCTGCTGAAGAGTGGCATCTGAATTCCACAATGATGTTGTGCTGCTGAAGAGTGGCATGTGAGTTCCACAATCTAGGTCCAATGTCTAAGCTCAGCCCTGGCCAGGTCGTGCTCCAAGCTCCTGGCTGGAGTCCGGCCGAAGACTCAGTGAGCAGCGACTCAACCTGAGACGCAGGAAGTTTCAGCTGTGTTGGGTTGTTGTCGTGCCTCGCTGTGCTGCTGAAGAGTGGCCTTATTCTGGTTGCTACTGTGTCGAGTTTTCCTCGCCGCAACTTCTGCATTCCAAGTTCTGGTTCCATCATGGTTATGTATGCAATAAAAGTTCAACAGTTATCGTTGCCGAAGACTTTGCAAAGAGTAGTCCACAGACCTTCTGTTTCAACATCACACGTTCAGGTCACATGGGCATAACCACAGACTTCCTACACTAATGTCTTCACAGAGTTCTAGCACTAGGACCTGTGATTGCAACCTAATTTCTCAGACCTTCCAGGTTCTGACCTCGCTACCAGACTTTACAAAGTCATACTTCACTTGAGAGCTCCTCTAGCCGTTATAGAACCATGGATGCGGAATGGTCAACAAGTGGTTGGTCCTATTCCCAATGGCAATATGATCCGGCGTGGGATGGCTGGCAGGACTGGCACTCGCAGGATGATAAGGTGCATGGGCGAGACTACAATTCGCCGGTGGAAGCACCTCCGCCTCCGCCACGAGCTGGACCTGAAAGGAGGCCACCGCTTGGGCCTCCACCCGGACCACCAGGGCCTCCGCCCGGGCCTCCACCCGGGCCTCCGCCCGGGCCTCCGCCCGGGCCTCCTCCACAAGAACCCGTACCTCCACCTCCACAAGGGCCCGGACCTCGACCTCCACAACCTACGACGAAGCAGAAAGGGCCATCCTTCACTCCGCCCTTGCGTGGGCACGACGAAGATGTGACTCAGCTGATGGAGGCAAGCCGAGCTTCGGGCGCTCGCCCGAACTTCAGTCAGCTTCGCAGGGAGTTCGACGCGAAGATGAGAGAGGTGAAGCAGACTTGTGCAGAGTTACACCAGGCACAACTCTCAGCAGAGCTGGCGCAACAACAGGTGAGGTTCAACGAGGAGAAGAAGGCCTACGTCGAGGCGGCGAACTTGGCGGCGAAGGCGGCTGCCGAGGCCGACAAGACGGATGCGCTGCTGCAGCTGGGCGAGCGCTGGAAGGCCTACAGTGACGCTGAGATCCTGAAGGCCGTTCAGCGCGAGCAACAGTCTGCGCAAAAACTGTTGGCCGAGCAGAAGGAGGCCTACGAGCTCGAGAAGTCTCGTCAAACTACGCGCATCAACGAGCTCTTGGAATCCGTGGAGTTTTGGAAGCAGTCGAGCAAGGAATGGCGATATTCCAAGCTCAGTGACTTGGAGAAGATTGCAGCCTCAGCCTCACAACAGGCTCAGCAGGAGAAGGAAACGAAGCCAGACGCCAAGAAGAGCCTTGCAAAGGCCGGAGTTGTTTTGATCGGTGATCTACTCGATTCCTGGAGTTTCCTAGCTTTAGCAGCCTGACGACAATCGTTGTGTAGGACGACAAGAAAGAGTCGAAGCCCGAGACGGCGAATCCTGGTACCTCTTCAAAGGCCAGTCAGTGTCTTTTTCGTCTGACGGTCAAGCTCCGGTTTCGGCAGTTGAACAGATTCCAAGAAGCTTTTGAATTGCATCCTGCCGACCCGCACGCAGGAGTTCCCGCAAGCAGATCTTCCACAAGCAGATCTTCCGGAGGCCACTGTCATTTTCGACTCACTTCTGGTAAGCCTTAGGGTTTGAAGCCTTCAGGCGGTTAAAAGAGATGACGAGCTGACTGCACAACAGCAGATGGAGCGGGTGGCGGCCAAGTACCCGGAGGCAGGCCGAGTGTCAGAGTCAGAGCGGCAGTCTTTTTCAACGTTTGGCAGGTCGCAAGGATGAGAGCAGACTCTGCTAAGAGGAAGAAAGATCCGAAAGAAGATGACAAGAAGGCTGGGTATTTCATGCACCCCTCTTTAAAAATCCCGAGTTGGCATAACATCATAGCACGGCAGGTCCAAGCCAAGAAAGCGAAGATCCCGGAGGCTGGGCTAAACTCTGATGCACTCTCCTATTGCACAATGACCAAACATTTGGCAGTGTTGGCAGCAGTTGTTTCGGCAGGAGGCTTCAACGGAGGTGACAGAGGCGCCGCTTCCGCGAAAGAAGAAGGAGAAGAAGGCGGGCTTTGTAATGGACGTCTTATCAAACATAGGCGAACAATGAAATATCTCGGCCAGGCAAGCAAATGATGAAGCGGATGGATGACAAGACCTATGATGCCGGACGATCTCACTGGGCTTTGGGCACGAGAAAAACAACTTGAGCTTATTATTTGCTTGCACCTCTGCCAAGCCAATCATACCTTCGCCTTCCTCTTTGATTCCATACATTACGTTATTCATAGTTTGCCCAGCTTCTTCGGTCCTGAGGCCAGGACCTGACTTGGGCTGGGTGGCACATGGTGCTGCGGAAGGAGGCCACACGACCTGGGCTGGGTTGAGAAGTTGGAAGGAGATTTAAATAATCAGGCCGTAACCAGCCGTGGTGCTAGGAACTTGAGACCCCAAACTGCTGGTAGGGTTCTGCAACTGAAATGCCACTCTTCAGCAGCACAGCTGGGGATGGGTAGGTACTCTTCAGCACCACAGATAATTTGATGACAGTATGCATCGGAGGCTGAGTCGGATGCCGAGGCTGTCGACGAGGCCTGGCGTAAACTGCCAAAGACTCAGCCGGAGATCAGGCGTTCGTAGATACATGATTATGAAGCAATGCTGCCATGATCAGGTAGACCAGCGCACTGCCAAAGACTCAGCTCGAGACCCAGGGTTTCGCGGTTTCGCTACGTTGCACCTGTGCTGCTGAAGAGCGGCGTGTCACTGAGCTGTGGTGCTGAAGAGTGCTTTCAAAAAGTGTTGCTAGTTCTAGGCCGACTGTGGTGCTCAAGAATGGGGTAGTGTCGCAGTTCACCATGCTACACGAGCTGAAGGAGTAGAGTGTAACGGTTCAAAGCAAAGGCTTCAGTCTTGCTTTAGGATTGAGGAGTTTTATGCAAAGAGTATGGCATCAAAGCCGAACGAACCTTCTCACTAGGCCCCGACCCTTAACAAAAAGACTTCAACACCGACAACCCGGACCGTCAATCCTGAACCCCTGCAGGTAGTACTGTAGCAGCCGAATGAATTACCAGTACTACTTGTGAAAACTGTAAGGCAACAATGGCAAACTCACGCTTCCAGAAGCAATCCCTGGAAATCCTGCTAAGGAACCTTGACTTTGGGTCAAACACCGAACTCCTGAACTAATCCAAGCGTTAGGGGTGTATTCTTAAGTTGCCTTGATAACGACTACATACCAGGATGGCAGCATGCTAGTTTATAAGCAGGCTTGATATCGGGAATCCGTGCAGGGTCTACCCCACACCCCCTAAGCTGGATGGTCGGGCGTTCTTTTTTGGGCTTTAAAGGCCTTATTAATATCAACCCTGAACCCCAACCATGATAAGTGGTACTCTTCAGCACCAAGGGTACTCATCAGCACCACTGCAGAAAACAAGCAGGCACTCTTCAGCACCACTGGTACTCATCAGCACCACTGCAGAAACAAACAGGTACTCTTCAGCACCACACGCAAGGACGCTGCTGCAGACATTCTAATCATATCTATCTATCTATCTATCTATCTATATATTTGTCTGTCATATCTCTGAAGTCTCTAATGCATGATGGTATAATTTACTTCAGTTTTCCCTTATGATATAGTTATAGTTGGTATTACCAAACATAAACCTTGGAAACCCTAAACCCCCAAACACATAGTCGAATGTCGCTTGTCATGTGCTCCATCAAAACAAACAGAAATTTGACAATTGTTTCGTTTTTTCTTGGGTAAAAAGTTTGTCTTGGTTTGCCAAAACATACGACATACAACTCAAGTTTGAAGACGTTCCTAATTTTGGTTTCTCAGCCACCCAGCCTTTGGTTTTGATTGTTGACTAACCGCAAACAAACTATATCTTTTTTGTTTCCAGCACGAGCCGATTTACCCGGCAACTTCCCGGCAACTTCCCGGCAACAAAGCAACGCAACCGTGCACCCGCCTATGGCCCAGCAAGGAGCGCAGCATCGAAGGGCAAGCTTTGGCACCGGGAGGCCGAGATCGTCAAGGGACGGGTCAAGGCCACCCAGGAATATCCCGCAAAGCTTGTGCAGGGTATCTTGGAGGCGTTTCGCGCCCAACTGATCGAGGACGGTGAGTTCTCTCAAGCTCTCAACATGATGGAGGCAGGTCCTGTACCGGACGCTGCCCCTGTCATCGACGAGGAGGAAGAGGTCTTCAACCACCTTCCGGAGGCGAGCGACCCTATCGAGGGACCTGTCTACGACTCCAACACTGGAGCAGAGTTGGACCTTGAGAGGGTTGCAACTGCTCGCAAGGAAGAACTAGAGTGGGTTCGAAAGCAAGACCTCTACGAGAAAGTTCCGGAGGAGCAAGCAAAGGCTGCAGGAAAGATGCCCATAACGATGAAATGGGTAGATCGCAATAAAGGAGATAACGAACGGCCCAACTACCGATCACGACTTGTCTGTCGTGAGGTAAAGCGTGCCAAGAACGCGGAATTCATTCCTGAGTTCGCTTCCTTTAGCGCGATGCCGCCCCTCGAGGCGGTAAAACTGCTCCTGTCACTCATGGTGACACTGAAGGTCGCCAAGAAGAGCCGATCACCTCTGAAACTTCGGCTCATCGACATATCCCGGGCTCACTTCTATGGGAAGGCCCAGAGGGATGTCTTTGTGACGTTGAGGGTGACCGTACACCAGGGATGGTTGGCAAGCTTCGCAAGTCCATGTATGGGACGCGGGATGCAGCTGCCATATGGCAGGCTGATTACACCGCGGCCCTTCTGGCTGCTTTGTTCGAAAGATGCCCAGCATGGCCTGCCATCTTCTTCCACAAGGATCGAGAGATTCGTCTCCTGGTCCATGGTGACGATTTCCTCATTTTGAGTGACGACGCCGGCCAAGCCTACGTTGAGCAGATCCTGAGATCCAAGTACGACCTCAGGGTTGATGGAAGCATCGGGCAAGGGGAAAAGAGGCAGGAGTTTTGTGTACTGAACCGTCTCGTACGTTTCGACGAGAGGTCGGGCACTATCTCCTACGAGCCTGATCCCAGGCACGCTGAAATCATTCTGAAAGACTTGGAAATGGAAACCTGTAAGCCGGTAAAGAGCCCAAACGAAAAGCTTAAGGCAGAAGACGTTGCAAAGCGTCTGGAGATGCCTACGGTTGCGCCGGACCGCATTAGCAAGTACCGCTCCTTGGTCATGCGTGCGGCCTTTTTGGCGCAAGACAGGCCAGATCTGTCTGAAACCGTCAAGTGCCTTGCACGGAAGATGCAAGGGCCTACGGAGGCTGACTTCGGAGACTTCAAAAGGGTGGCTCGGTATCTGAAAGGTACAATGCGGCTGGTACAGAGGTTCACGCCACAGAGGTTCAGCGAGGTGGTCACAGTCCATGCGGACAGTGACTTCGCGGGATGCCTTCAGACACGCAAAAGCACCACCGGACTCGTGTGCTACTACGGCAAGCACGAGGTGAGACACTCGAGCAACCTTCAAAGCACGGTGTCACTATCCTCGGGAGAAGCCGAGTATTACGCTCTGGTGAAGGGAGTGGCCAGTGGGATGGCTACTCAAGAGTTGCTGCGTGGATGGGGCTTGGACGTGAAGCTGCAGGTTCACACTGACAGCGCTGCTGCGCTGGGTACCTGCAACAGACTCGGGTTGGGTAAGTCCCGACACGTGCAAACACGTTACCTTTGGATCCAAGAGAAGCTCGCAAACAAGCAGTTCGAGCTGTTCAAAATCGACACCAAGCTGAACACGGCTGACCTGCTTACTAAGTCGCTAGCCGTGGAAAGTGCTGAGCAGCACCTGAAACGCATGGGCTTCGAAGTAGTCTCAGGTAGAAGCGGTTTAGCGAAAGCAGTTGTATAGTGTACGGTGTCCTAAAGTGGACGTCAGCGGAATCGCCTCCGCCCAGGAGGGGTGATTCCGGACACGTATCTTCCTAAATGGTAAGATGCAACTGACCTTGCTTTTGGCTCAAGGAAAATAGGAGCGTTGCTATTATTTAATCATGGCGAGAGGATGGTGAGGATGATGGTGCTACTGCGGTGATGATGACGACGTTGCGGATGCCGATGATGAATGACGGGCTTTTCATCAGTTGGCAGCCCTTGCTCGTGACTTTTGCTGCCAGGCCACCTTCCAACTGTGAGAAGTTGTCGACGAAACCGTTTCAAGAGGAGTAGTGCTTAGACCTCCATGCTGAGTCCGAGCCACACACACCCAAAGGCTGCAGAGACTACAGCCGTTACTTTATGAGAGAAGGAGCGAATTGGCAATCGAGGTTGCTTATCACAAATTGTCATTGATTCGTGTCAGATCGCTTTCCCATGCTTTGCAGCATCGGTGTCAGGAATTCCTGAAAGACATGTCTTGAAGTCTTCACGCAGAGCTTCTCGTTGGGTTCACGGGGCTCAGGTTTGTTTTTCCAACGGATTCAGAGCTCACATTTCAAGCTTCAGGCTCTCGTCATCTCGGATGTAGATCGATGTAGGGTTGTGGCATAGGAAGCACTTATTCATTATTTTTCCGTTTAGGGGCATGTAATTTGGGGAACGGGAACGAGATAGCATGATCGGGTTTTCTTGGAGCCAGCCCCTTCCGAATGCAGCGGGGGGAGATCGCCCATCTACTTACAAGATGTTTCGCGCTTGGTGAAAAACGTCTTGGACCGAGACGGCTCTTTCCCTGCCCATTTTCCGGTGCACCGCAGACTTTGAAACCGAAGCACCGCGTGCCACCGAGAAGCAGCAGGCATCATGAAGTCCAGGGTCAGGCCCGACTTTACAATGGAGTCTATAGCCACAGGGTTTAGGATTTGGGGAGTTTGAAAGAGAACCCGCTGGATGCGTGCTTCCCGTTATCTGCTCAAGGTTGCAGCCTGTTTGCTCGAGCGTCGGCGACGCTGGCGATGGCCTCTGCCGCCAAGATGCCAGCCTCCGAAGAAACTCTGCCTGAAGAGCAGAAGTACCTCCTGGAGATCGTCCAGCCCCTGCTGACGGACCTCATCGAGGACCTGCTCCAGGATGAGGCGATGCCCGAGGCCGGACCATCCGCGAGCCTTCTAGACGGAACTGCAAGCTGCAGACGTTCATAGTTCAGAGGCTCCCTGAAACTGCTACGATCCCTTCCCCGTACTTGCCTTCAGGTCTCTGTTGCTGCCTTGACAAGCTCATTACGCGTCCAGCTGAAACTATAAGCAAAGCTTCCTGCCCAACATGCCTGGATCCAGACCCGAAGTACCAGAATCAGTGCACGTGTAACGGTGCACCTTCCAAAAGTTGCAGCTGTAGGGTTGCAGATGCAAGCCGGGCTGGTCAACAGAATCCTCAGCTTGGGACCTGCAGCAAACCGTTTCGCACTTTCTCCGCCTCCACCTCTCCTCTCGCTGTGCGCAGGATGCAGAGGCCTTCATGATCGACTGGCTCCGACGGCGCGCCGGGAGCCGCGAGGGCCAGGGTCGAGCCATCTGCATGTCCCTGCGCCAGCGGAACGAAGTGCTGAAGCAGGAGCTCTTGGGGAGGGCCGTTCTGTTGTTCGGTGGCGAGCA